TTCTTGAATATACCGGCGAATGAGAGATGATCCCTGCCCTTATCAAAACTAGTCTGATGGAAAAGGATGGATAATAATAAAACATGTACATTATGGAGATAAGAACAAAGTGATCTGGGAACAAAGAAAACAAAGACACCAGCTCTGTCTGAGGCATCAGGGAAAGATTTCCTACAGTGACCATCAATTATTTGTTCAAACAATATATAGTGAGTCCCTTCAATGAGCTGATCACTGTGTTAAAAGCCAAAGTGAAAGCAGTAAACAAAATAGACCTGAAAGATAACAAATTTTAATCTGGATTTTTTTAAATAGTCAATTTCAAGGAAATATGGTCTGAAAGAAAATTACACAGATGAGAAGCTTGAGAGCTCGTGATGGTAAGAGGGCCGGTTCTGCAGCCTGAAAGCCCGCACATTATTCCTGTCTGAGGCACTTGGTAGTTGGGTCACTTTCGGCAGGTTAATCTTCCGATGTCCGATCTTCCTCATCTTTAAAATGTGAATGTGATATTAAGAGTAGAGCTCTTAGGTTTGCTGGAACTTTTAAATGCTTTAATACCTTCAAAGTATGTAGCACAGCAACAGGACCATAGTAACTCCTCAGTATAACTCATGTATGGAATGTAAATATTTTTAAGCAAGAAATTCACATACTCTGTTTTTGTTTGAGAAAGATCATGATGCTTTCATCAGGGTAGGTAATGGGCTGAGCAAGTAAGGAGATCTTTAAGTAATAGAAAATTGCCAAGTCAGTGGCAATAGAGGAGCAGAGAAGAATTTAAGAGATGCGTCCAAAGTATGATACAAAGGATGTGTGATGGTTCTCATGTGAAAGAAAAGGGTGAAGAGTTGGTCGTGGGAAACAGACCAGAGAGTGCATCCGTTTCCTGGGGCTACCCAAAAAAAATCACCACAAACTGGGTTGCTTAGAACAATGGAAATTTATCTCATGTTACTGGAGGCCAGAAGTCCAAAATCAAATCAGAAGTTGGCAGGGGTGCCTGGGTGGCTCAACTGGTTAAGCATCGGACTCTTGGTTTTGGCTCAGATCATGATCTCAGCATTGTGCGATTGAGCCGTGAGTCCGACTCCGAGCTGGGCGTGGAGCCTGCTTCAGATTTTCTCTCTCCCTCTTCCTTTGTCCCTCCTCTCACTCTGTCTCTGTCTCTGTCTCTGTCTCTGTCAAATAAATAAAGCAATCTTAAAGAAGTTGGCAAGATTCACTCTTTCTGGAGACTCTGAGGAAGAATCTGTCCCATGCCTCTCACCCAACTTTAGCTGGTAATCCTTGGCATTCCTTGGCTTTGGAGGCAGCCCTCCGATTGCTGCCTCTGTCCTCACCTGATGTTCCCTCTGTGTTCCTCCTTCACGTGGCCTTCTTATGACGGTACCAGTCACTGGATTCAGGTCCCATCCTAATCCATTATGACTCGTTTCAACTAATCACGTCTGAAAGACTCTGTTTCCAAACAAAGTCACATCTGAAGTTCTGATGGACCTGAATGGGGGGCAGAGTGGTCGCTATTCAACTCATAACTGAAGGCGACACCCTTAACAGGTGAATGAGAAGGTTTAGGCTGGAGACTTGGAGAATGGCTTCCCCTTTCAGCATGCTGAAGTCCAGGTACCTGCAGCAAATGGCAGCGACTGTGCCCAGCAGGCAATTAGAATCAGGACTCAGAGTCCAATGAGCATAGGAGTTTGGAGAGAGATTAGGAAATCACGAACATTCAGGAGAGAAAGTTGTCTAAGTGAATGAAGTCTTCCAAAGAGAATACCCAGAACGATGAGAAGGAGAACAGGATAATCCTCTTAGAGCAAAACCTTGCAATCTTTTAAGTTTCTTAAAATATTAAGGTTTTCTTATACTTTCTTTGTAATGTGTGAATCGCTGATGATAATTGCATTAAATTTTTAAATCTTTCTAAACTCCTATGTTAACCCTGCCAATTTTATTAGCCAAAAAGTGATAAAAATGGGCACAAAGCTCTTTGATATTTAACATTCAGTTTTTCTTCTGATCAAATTAATTGTCCTCTCTTGAAATATCTGCAACTGTATTTCAGAAGCTCTATTGTATTAATTTAAGCAGTTCATGGTAAGACTTTAAGTCTCAGCTTTTACCTTAGTATTTCCCACACTATATTATATGCTCTTTAATAAAGGTCTTTGCAAATAATATCCCTTACACATCCCATTTACTATTTCCTTTCAGAGGTTGAACTAATGCAGTTTTTCTATCGATACATACTTTAGTCCTATACAAGACTGCATGTGTACTGGAAGGATACTATGCTTAACATTAAAGTAAAAAAAAAAAAAAAAACCACTTGAATTTCACCGTAACCACATGATTAACTCACTGTAACTTTGATCAAGTCACTTGACCTTTCTGTCTCAGTTTTAGTCACCAAAAAGTGAGGGAAGTAATAACTACCACTGAGTTTATAGAAATCTTTAATATATTTTAAAGTTTTTGTCGACTGTAAAGGTGTATATAAATGAGTTTTTGTCAAACCAATATTTAAGATGAAGACAAAGTTGAATGGGAGGACCACTATCCAAGAAGTTCCTATACTTAGAATATTGTTTAGACGTCGTGTTGCTTTGGAACAACTAGCTAGAGTGGTGGAATCAGGAGCAGAGACACAGGTCAGGATTGTCATAAGTTCTCTGAAGGGCAGCTCCTATAAATAAGGGTACTCGTGGCAGCTAATAGCACCATTAGATATACCGGTTCGGCAAAAGCAGAAAGGGCTCCCATCCACTCTGAACACTGCTCACACCGGTAAGGTAAGCTATGATGTTAGAGGTTGTGCCCCGCTTTGAAATAAAGATCACAGAGCCACAATCCCTCAACACTCTGCTTATGAGGTCAATGTAACAAGGACTTATTTTCACCCTCCAAGACCTACCACATCTTCAGCGAGCCTCACCCCACATACAGAGAACTTGAATAACTAACTATTCAGCCAGAGAAAAGTTGCACAGTGGAGAAAGTAGATAGAAGCCAGGGGCCAGGTGCGTTCTCTCTCTGGTTGAGGAAATACAGAATGGACGTGATTTTTGCGTGCAGAACCTTAGAAGCAATGGGAGATTCTCAAAAACAGCAAACACGAAGCAGCAAGCCAGGCCAAGTTATATATGTGAGAACAGGGTAAGGTGGGATTTAAAGTATAAGAAAAGGTAAAAGAGATGATATACTATTTGTGGTCTCCACTGAGTTAGTGCATGAGCCAAATTCACCCTGCTCCTGTTTTCGTAAATAGAGTGTTGCTGGACACAGCCGCATTCATGCATTTATGCATTGTCTATGGCTGCTTACACACCACATGGCGCAGCTGAGGTTTAGAGACAGAGGCCATATGGCCTGCAAAGCAAATACATATAATATCTTCCCTTTACAGAACAAAATCCCCTAACCTCTGAGTTAGAGGAATGAAAGAAGCAAGATCTTATAGGGAAGGAGTATATCCCGACCGAAACACAGAGCAAAAAAGTGGGATTTGAAGTTAGGAAGAAAGTTGATTGCAGGAAATGGCAAACACTTGAACCACGCCAACAAAACAATTGTGACATATGCATATCATATTATTTAAAATGAATTGAGAACAGGTGAATAAAATTACAGCTATCCGATACCGGAGCTTTCAGCTCCTCTCACAGATTCCATCATCTATAAAGTAAATATTTGGGCCAGATGATCTCTGGAGTCCCATTCAGATCTGAACATTCATGATTGTAAACATTTCCAAGGGTCTCCTGGAGTGTTTTGCTACCCTGCAGAAGAGATTACGTATTTCATTAGGTCCATTACAAACCAAGCGGGAAGAAGCACCGATGTAGACTCTTGAATTTTTCATTTAACACACTTTGATGACAAAAGTTAATTCTCATGGAAAGGGCCTTTTAAAAATCTCAAACTGTAGGGAAAACTCTGAATTGGGCATTTTGTTCACATCCTATGTGAATAAGGAGCTGATGTGTATGAAGTAGGTACAAGAAGAAAATGGGTATTTTTCAACTGCGAGTGAGCTCAAGAATCCCAATCATCATCATCCTCACTTCATCCCCATGCCCCCCAACCCTCCTCTGCCCACTTTTCCAGTAAACTGCAATACTGTCTCTTTAGTGACCCCAGTGAGGAACCCCGGAGTTGCTGCTAATGCTTGGTTCTTTTTTTCAAGATTTTATTCAGTTATTTTTTGAGAGAGAGAATGAGAGCACACACGTGCGAGTGGGGGGGGGGAGAAGGGGAGAAGCCGACTCCCCACTGAGCAGGGAGCCCCCCGAGGACTCCAGGATCATGACCTGAGCCAAAGGCAGACGCTTAGCTGGCTGAGCCACCCAGGCGCCCCAACGTTTGGTTCTTAATGTCTCTCCACAGAAACTCACAAGGTTTCTGTCCAGCCACCAAGCCCTCTCAGCACTGCCAACATCTCTTTAAGCAAACTTTCATAACCCCATGAGAAAGAACAAAGGACCCACACTGAGTAGCCAACAACAGCCCTGTACCAACTTATATCATAACATAAGCAGTGCTGTGCTGTAATCCCGTATTCACTTTGTCTGTCTCCCAGGCAAGACATTCTGCTTCCCAAGTACATGATCTGTGTCTTAGTTATCATTTTACTCCCAGCATCTAATAGGTTAACTGGCTTACAGTAGGCAATAAAGACATATTTGTTGGAGAAAAGAAGTGAATAATCAAGCCACTGAAATATTTAAAAATAGAATGTGAAAATTTCACAAGAAAGTAAAAGGAGGGTGCCTGGGTGGCTCAGTCATTAAGCGTCTGCCTTCGGCTCAGGTCATGATCCCAGGGTCCTGGGATCGAGCCCCACATCGGGCTCTCCACTCAGCGGGAAGCCTGCTTCTCCCTCTCCCACTCCCCCTGCTTGTGTTCCCTCTCTCTGTGTGTGTCTCTCTCTGTCAAATAAATAAAATCTTTAAAAAAAAAAAAAAAGAGGTTTCCTGCCGGCGGCAGGTCTCGCACCACAACCATGGTGGATGTCATGGAGTTGCCCAGGTCGCGCGTCAACGCCAGCATGCTAGCTCAGTTCATCGACCGGCCGGTCTGCTTCGTAGGGAGGCTGGAAAAGATTCATCCTACTGGAAAAATGTTTATTCTTTCAGATGGAGAAGGCAAAAATGGAACCATTGAGTTGATGGAGCCCCTTGAAGAAGAAATCTCTGGAATCGTGGAATTAGTTGGAAGAGTAACGGCCAAGGCAACCATTATGTGTGCATCATTTGTCCAGTTTAAAGAAGATAACCATCCTTTTGATCTTGGACTATACAATGAAGCTGTGAAAATTACCCATGAGTTCCCTCAGTTTTTTCCTTTGGGGGTTGTGCAATATGATTGATCTCGATGAGCACATTGAAGACTGTCATAGGAAGCCCCTGATATTTGAGGGGGAGATTTCTGTGATTTTTCATATTTAATTTGTTCTCCTTTTAATTTCATTTACCTAACCTTATTAGATATTACAATATCCCACTTTTGATGGAACCTGTCTGTATACTGAAAGTTAAGTGCTTATAAAGAGAACACTTCTGTATATGGTCAGATCAGATGCAAGAACTAAGCAGTTGCCTTGAGTTTAGTTTTCTCTTTTATTAATAAAGGCCAAAATGGGACATAAAAAAAAAAAAAAAGAAAGTAAAGGGATGAAAAAAGAATAGCTTACTTGAAGAGTCCTATTCTGTGCCCATGATCAGAAACATGGTTACACATAGTATATGTGTTTAAAACATTGTAACTGTGCAATTCATCACAATGATTTTATTACATGCTGTCATACCTGAAGTGCTTTCAGAATGGGAAAAATAAACAGTCCATCCTCAGTTCTCAAACAGGCAGTCAAAAACCAAGCACATGCACACAAAATCATATATGCATCCATATAACAATCCCAAAGAATTTGACACTAATTAGGGAATTTAAAAACAAATACCAAAACCCACCATCTATTGAGAGGGCTGGGAGTGAATCAACCATTGACACCTGTTAGTTCAATGAAACGCCAGTGTGTCGCTGCAATCCCTTCATTTCAGTATCATTAGCCAGGGGGAGGTGGAGAACAAGGAAAGGGGCAGGGCATATGTGGGAAGGGAGCAGAAATTAGGGAAAAGAGGCAGAGGGCAATATTCATATCCTTCACTTCTTTAATCAGTAAAATATACCACAGAAATATTTTTAAATAACCTATATTTAAGGTTTATTACCATTACCAAGCTTTATTATCATTATTTTTGCCATAGATTCCTTTGGCTGTCTGGTGAATTCTGTGAACCTCCTCTCAGAATATTATTTTTTAATGTATAAAACAACATACATGGGAACATAAACCAATTACATTGCAATACTGTTTTTAACCCCAAATTAGGTCTACTGCTGATACAAGGCAGAAATTATTTAAATAAGAACAACCTTGTTCTTTGAGTCAAAGAGTGTTTTATCAATAATGAAGATGAAGTGTACAAATGAGGTATTTTGCTTATCTGCATCATTAAATCTGTCCAAGGAGTTTTCCTTAAAATAATGAGTAATGACAGTATCTGAAGCAGCTTGCTAGCGTGCATCTCAGCCCACTGATCTGCAGGCCTGGCTTTAGCCAATTGAATCTTAGGATCTCACCCTGCACACTAAACTTATCTCTGTTGCCCACAGGCACCTGAATATATTTACAGAGATTGCATTGGTCCAAGACATAGCGAAAGCACTAATCCCAGGAGACTGTAAATAAAATAGTAGCATACTATTTCCAGTTATAAACAGCAATACAAAGTCCTTGAATGCAGGGCACAGATCTTATATGATGTGTCAGTGTAACACATAAATATAGCAATTCATCCACATTAATTGAGGAAAAGTCTGTATGCTTTTCTCTACATGTGCTAGATACTATAATTACTTTGCCTAATTAAAATGTATTCTTTGATATTGATATTATATGCAATTCTGGTAAATTATAACTAGGCATGCCTAGTTACTCAAACACACATAAGTATAATACAATTGATTATATTAAAATTATATTAAATATTATATGTATTATATTAAAACATAGGAGAACAGTTGATTAATCACACAGAAAAAAATAAAATTAGAGCTTCATCCTACACTATGTGTCAAGAAACAAGTTTCACTGAATTATAGCAGTAAGTGTAAAATTACAGTTAGATACAAATAAAAATACAAATAAATAATAAGTACATATCTATTTATCTCATGGAAAATATCGAATGGCATTCTGACCAAAGGCTTTAACCTAAAGAAAAAATTGGTAGAGCTAACAATATCTTTAAAAAGAAATAGTTGCTTAAAATGAAAAAACTAAAACCAAATTTGGTACATCATTTTAACAAATACTATATTGGGTATTATGCTTAAAATAAAAAGAGATTTGACAAACCATTAAGAAAAGGATGAGACAGCTAACAGAAACAAGTGAGAACACAAATAGACAATTCACAAAGAACTACACATGAAAATGTTCTTAAGTTTCATTTCAGTAACATTTTAAAAAATTCAAATTAAAATTCAAGTTACCTTAAAATGTTGAAAGTTAGAATAATGGGTAAAAATACGATCAAATAAAATATATTACCAACATAATTAGAAAGATTTTTTCTTTTATTTTTTTAAATTTTTATTTTTTATTACAGTATAATGAACATCGAGTGTTTTTATTAGTTTCAAGCGTACATTATGGTGATTCGACAGTTCCATACGTTACTTGGTGTCCATCATGATAAGTGTGCTCTTACTCCTCTTTATTTTTAGTAGCATTTGATTTATACCTTTCTTTTCTTTTCCACATCTAACAAACAACTTTGGAATTCCCAGAAGTCTGAGTGGACAGATATGTCATGATCATTGCTATTATAGCTCAATAACATTGAACCTGGTGCTTTTAATTTCTTATATTAAAACAAAGATTGATGAAAAAAACTAAAGTTTCTTTGGTCTCAGAAGATATTTAAAAAAAAACTGATTTCCGCAACGGCATAGAAAAGGAGAGACACATATTTGTTGGTGGGGCTAATTTTTAAAAATATTAACTCGGACACAATTTATCCTAAGGGAATAATGAGAGATGTACAAGAAGAAGAGATGGACAAAGATAGTCGTCTCCCAAAGGTAAAATACATAAAGAACTTTTAAAGAGAAGAAAATGTGCTCATTATATTTTATGTGTCAAGAGCATTCTGAAAAACAAAGACGTGTATGTATAAGTATAAATATGTAGAAAAAGGTTTGAGAAGATGCACACCAGAATATCAAGCGAGACCTCTACTTCCAATCAAGATATAGTAACAGAACAGATTTCTCCTCCCACTTGCGATGACAACTAAATATTAAAACAAAATACATGAAACAACAGCCCTCAAGGCAAGGAAAGACAGTGATTTATAAGAAATGGGGAAGTAGACAAAGCGAGCCGGGAGACTGGTCCCACTTGCTACTTGGAGGAAGTTTCTCCAGCCCACACTGTGGGCAAGGGAGACATGGTCAGAGCCAGGACTCAAGGGGCCAATACCAGGAGTCCAGCGAAACCAACGCATACAGAGTTCTCAGGACAGCACGACAGACAAAAAAAACTGCACAGGGAAGAAACTCTGTTTTTTCCTCAAGAATTCAGTTGAATACTGTTGATCAATGTGTGCACGTGAGGACACTACCTGAGACCAGAACAAAAAACATCTGAAAGAATTAAAGAGAATAATTTCTGGAGCTCAAACAGAGCAAGGGATTGTGCCAGTACCCGACAATCAGAGTAATAACCATTAGAGGGCATCAGTGAGAGTTCTGAGAAGGGTCTTGCTCCAGGAGAAGGGAAGGTTAATTCCATAGAAAATGAAGATCTGGTTCTATGTAACAAAGCCTTAAAGGAAGATATAAAAAAACCAAGCTGTTCCCAGGTGACATAACCCTATTTAGCACCAAGCCCTAGAGTATGAGGAACATAAAAATACGGGCAGAACCGCACTATGTTCCCCTTGTTCAGCATCCAGTCAAAAATTACAGAGTATACAGAAAGGTAGGAAAGGATAACCTATAACGAGGATTAAAGTCATTCAATTAAAACAGATCCAGGAACAACAGAAATAACAGAATTAAGAGACAAGAACATTAAACAGCTTTTACGGCTATATCTCATATGGTCAAGAAGGTAGAGAAAAGAATAAGCATTTTAATACTCTCATGGAGATATAAAAAGACCCAAATTGAGTTTCTGAGCTGGAAATGACAATGTCTGGGAGGAAACACACTGTGGATGAGACTGATGGCAGATTGAGCATGGCAAAGGAAAAGGTCAGTAAACTTGATGACCGGCTTTGGTTAGCTTGCTATTGGTGTCATAACAAATCACCACAAACTTAGTGTCTTCTGAACACACTGGTTTGTTATCTCACAGCTCTGTATGTCAGAGGTCCAACACACTCCCCACTCGGTTAAAATCCAGGTGTTGGACGGACTGCTTTCCTTCCAGAGATTTTTGATTGGAAGCTGTTTCCTTGCCTTTTCTGGCTTCTAGAAGTTGTTCCCACTTCTTGGCTCCTGGCCCCTCTGACCAATCTTCAAACCCAGAAACGGTGCGTCAAGTGCATCTCAAGTTTCTTGGCAATGGCCCATTCTTCTGCCTCTTCCTTTGTCTTTTAATAGCTTGTGTGGTTAGAGTAAGCTTCCCCAGATAAACCAGGAAAATCACCCTCTTGTAGGTCAACCAATAGCAAAAAATAGATCAATCAACACTACAGAACAAAATTAGAAAAGTGAAATGTCTTAAATGACCCCAGCTTCTTCCTTAAAAAGTGAAAAAAAAGGATTAGTTTAAGCCCAAAGTAAGGAAATTGTTAAATTTCATAATATACAGGCCTTGTGAGACTCACCAAAAATAAGAGCTTGCATAAACTAGTCTTTGCCCTTGGGAAGGTTGGCTCAGCTTGAGGGAGGGACACTCAAAAGATTATTCCAGAAATTAACTACAGGGTAAACACCATGATAAAGATTAGTTCTCTCGCTCTCTCTCTCTCTTCTCTCTCTCTCTTCCCCCTTCTTCTCCCTCCTCTTTCTCCCCATCTCTCCCCCACATTCAAATTTCTAGTTATTTTATCATTTTTTTAAAGATTTTGTTTATTTATTTGACAGAGAGATACACAGCAAGAGAGAGAACACAAGCAGGGGGAGTGGGAGAGGGAGAAGCAGGCTTCCCACGGAGCAGGGAGCCCGATGTGGGGCTCGATCCCAGGACCCTGGGATCATGACCTGAGCCGAAAGCAGATGCTTAACCAACTGAGACATTCAGGCGCCCCTCCTTGGCTGTATTTAAATCGAGGGAAAGAGCAGATATTTCTTGCCCCTGAACCTAATTCAAGTGTTGTAAAGTTCCCTGCGTATGCTCCATGGCAGTTAAGAGGTTGAAATGGAGTACTTAGAGGACAGCTAGAGAATGGTGTGACGTAGAGCCACCAGCTAGTATAATAGATATCAATGCCATAGCCCCCAAACCACTATTAAATATAATGTCTGTTTTCAGGTGTTTTTCCACTAAATTGTGTATTCTTTTAGGGGCTATATCTCACTGATTTTTGTATCTTTTGTATCTTGCAAAATATTTCATGGAAGAA